TATGGGCAAAATCCATATAATCCATCAAAAAACATCTCAGACATAGCTTCGTGCTACGTGTGGCGGAATTTCAATGCGAGATCTGCGCAAAACACACAGATGTAGATACAGATGCAAACACCGATACAAATGCAATGAGTGGCAGTGGCAAGTGGCAAGTGGCAGAGCAAGGGCACGTGTGTCGTGTCCCAAAGAGTGTGTTGTCATGTCTGGGAATTTCGGAATCGAATTTGCTTCTACTCGTATTCCTATTGCTCGGTGGGCTCTCCCTGGCTCTGTGGCAATCTCAAGTATCGGGCAATTAGTGCGACGGCTCTCTGTTAGTGCTATTCTAGTGCGATCTGGGGCACACCCAGTGGCAGTGGCAATGTTTGTGCAGCACGCTCTAACAGGATTAGGAGTGGCGCAGGTGCTGGGATTATCGCAGCTCAAGAACTTAATTGGAGGACAATGCTGGTGGTCCTCTGGCGCTAAGCTAAACAAATAAATTTCGTGATAAAATTTGTTGAATGGTCTTAAATTTTGGGAGGATATTGTTTCCGCCTAGAATCGAGTCTAACAGTGTCTTAGTGTTAGTAACATTCCCATCTTTAATGTTAATAAGAGAATGGAATAATCAGACAGATATCAGATCCTCAAAAGTGAGGGAATAGAGAGATGCGGTTGCAGACGATGGAGAATGTATGCTTAAGATCTCGTGCCTCTCCATTGAATTCGATTTCGATTTCATGCGAATTTTCCCTTCTTAAGAAACCTTGAAATTTCCCTGAAGTTTCCCAATTGTCACCTTGCGCTTATTAGGTCTTTAAATGACAGGTAATCCTCATGCCAGGCCACCACCCTTTTATGTCCTTCGGCAGGTGGAATCTCTTAACGCCTCTGAGCCCCTGGCTGGAGAACAAAAAGGTCAGAGCTATAAAGTCAGGGTCAGCGAAATATTCGCAGAGGCTGAACGCCAGGCCGATTGCAAAGGAAGGAAAATGGCCAATGCGGGCTCTAGGAATTTCCCAAGCACCATAAAAACGTTTTGAATGATCGCCGGACAAATGTGGCAGTGGCAGGCAGTGTCGCGGATCATCATCAGGGAGGGGCTGGCTGGCAGCGTCGGCGTTTTGCGGCGCCTACCTAAGCCCCGATCCAGAACCGAAGCCAAAGCCAAAGCCAGAGCCAGGGCACTGAGCCCAGAGCCCAAACAAATCAGAGCAGATCACAGTCACAGTCCAGCTCAGAGACCTCGCCGAGAGACGAGGCCGAGAGTTATCACATTTGGTATGTAACTACATTTATCACAACCTAATATGACAACTCGAATAACTTTTGCCTGGCAGAGTCCGCAGAGCAGTGAGATCTGTGGCACTGCGACTGCGCCTCTGGGCCAGTCTGGGCAGCAGCTTGTCACATTTGGCCCTCCGCTAATTGGAACATATTTCGTGGAGCGTTCTCTGGATGATGTGTGTCTCTTGTAGATGCGATTTATGCATCCTTCTTCCAGCCAACAAGCCAACAAACCAAGCAACCAACCAGCCAAGAAACCAAGCAACCAAAAAATGAAGATATCAACTCAATGCCGCGAATGCGAATGGCCCTGCGAATAGTTTTCTGCGGTTAACAGAATCGAGGGTGTACGTTGTATGTATATTCCTTGATTCCTGGAGTATCCCAGGCACTGTACGGATGGGGGTGTGGTGTGCCTCCCATCCCACCCGAGGGTCTTGTGCATCAATAATTCATAACGCTAATTAATAACGCCCCCAATCCGAGGAGTGCGTTGCGTGCGCCGAGATGAAAGCCAAAAATGCCGACCCAATACACATAACAGGATAATAAACCTCTCTCGAGCGACCGGAGAGGCCAGACCAGACCAGATTCCCCCCCTTCAGTGCGCCATGTGCCTTATTGAAATTCAAATAAATCGAGAACGAGCGGAACGTTCCTGTTTTGATTGCCTTGTTCTTTATAAGGATGGGTATGGGTATAGGTATAGGGATGGATCTCCTTTAGTTGGGTTTTTTGTGGGGCTATCGAGGGCTTTGGATCACGCCTTAGGTGTAAAAATAAATGTTTCAAGTAACAACTTCTTAAAGAGGTAAATTATGAGCTGAAGCATGCGGGGCCACTCTTCTCTCACCCGCCACTCAAACGCCATCAATCTGAAAATGAGACAGAGACAGAGCCAGCGCCCTGCGCGGATCGCTGATCCCTGGGCATCAGCCATGGCCTGTGCCCCAAATCCCAGTCTTGGCCAGATCCTTCCTTAGCCTATAATTTAGTTGAAATACTCACATTTTCGGGGCCCTGATTGATGCGACGCGTCGGCGGCGCGTTTCGTCTGCACCGCACAATGTTGCCACCAAGTGGCGCGCCAAGAAATCTATTAAATATGATCTTTAATTCATTTTGAGAACCAAGAACCAAAAACCAACCAAAACTGAAATCGAAATCGAAAGCAGCTGCCGTTGTATGACAAATACAGAATACCGAATGCGCATTTGTCTAGGCTCTGGAGTTCTGGAAAAGGTGAAAGTTCTTCCGGTGCTCTCCATACTCTAAAATATAGGTTTATCGTGTATATATACATACGTATAATCCTTGCCTACTATTGTGGCCCCATTCTCAGGGCATCGCAGGGACAGGGACAGATACTGGGACAGGGACAATCGCATTGAGTTGTCAAGTGTCAGCGTTGACAGAGATCCAGATATACATACATCCAGAGCGATGCGATCCTCACTCCTCGAGTGAGCCCTATTCAGCTCCTTGGAGCACCCGGGCACCAAGGACAATGCGCCCGAGGATCCTCCTTTGTTCTGGCTGCCCTTTAATGTGTCAAAATATAGTTTGAGCCGCATTCTCTTTTTGTAATGCAAAGTAATTTATTGTCTGGCCAACAGTTTTTGTTCTCAGCGATCTGACATCTTGGTGCGTGGGAGCGAAGAGCCATCGCAACGATGCTTTTGTGTGTGTGTGCTCAGAGAAAGGCTTTCTTTCTTTGGTTTTCTCCTCCTCTCTCAAAATGGAAAGTGGTGTGGTTATCAATGCACTCCTGCAATCCGTGAAACAACTCCATTATAAAGCCATCAATTTGTACGACAAACACTCGAAACAAAAGACAAGTCACATTGGGCACATGGGGCACAATGGTTGGAGAAATGCCAAAAGGAAGGGCTTACAGCCGGCCAGGGATTTTGGTTTTAGGCTTACCAATTATTTCCAAGAGGGATATCTAGTCTAAAACTGGGCTACTCTTGGTCTGATTTTACCAGAGAAGAAGAAACTGCAAATTTGCTCTCGCTTGAACTCATGACCAAAATATTTTTGTGTACTCTAATTCATACAATAGTTTAGCTTATTTCCAAATTAAATCCATTCTTTCAAATTTAAATTCATGGAAAATGTCGAAAGTTCAGATTTCATTACAAAAAATGTTCCATATCGGAATCCCAAACTTCATTTTTATTAAAACAATGCAAAAAACTTGGTTTGAAAATGTGAGAATTTCACAGATGTTTTATTTAAATGCACAAATAGATAACATTAATATTCTTAGCTTTAATATATATTCTTAATGGCCACAAAAACAATGGTCTACAAGCACTACAAATATTTTTTTTTTTATATTATATATTTAGGGAAATCTCGTATATAATACTACCCCGCTTTTCTTTTCTTTTCTTTTCTCTTCTGCCGAATTAATCAATTTCTGGGGAATCAAATTTGCAGCATCCATATATCTATATTTTGTAGTCTAAAAACCATTCAGAACTTACTTTATATTTTAGCATATTGCAACATATAGCAACTCTGTTTCGTTCCAGAGCTGAAATCGGATTGTATTTTCTCCAGAGCTCTATATTTAGATTGATTTTGCCTGTCGTTTTTCCGAGAACTCCCGCAATGCTCTGTTTTCAGAATGATGGCTTTGCCACTCCCATTTCCGTTTCGCTTAGTTTCGGAATCGCCTCTCGATTTGAATTCAATTGAATTAGCATAGCGAAACTGTTTGCCCTGAGTCAATTGCGATAAGAAGTTAGCTGACGACTCAACCGATAGCGTTTCTCCCTCCACCTCGGTCTTTCTGTCTGGTGCCCTAGCACGTGCCCCATGCTCGTATCGGCGACCTACTCCCGATCGCGATCCTACCTGCGCTTTTCGCCAGGGCAATTTGAATTTCTCTGGCCTAGGCTTCTCCCCGAAGACTTTCGTCTTTGGGACTACCTGACCTTCAGCCTTATTTCGGTAAATATTTACGATGGAGCGCGTGGGTGGATGTGTCTGTTGATTAGAGGCCAAGTCAAATGGAATACATAGCGAAAGGGTTGCCTCTCTCTGATCCCGGGCAACGACTAATCCCCTGAGTCGGTCGGGGGACTCTGAGCCCGTATTTGGGATTAGTATTAACGGTTTATGGTCGGAGATGTGGCATAAAAATTATGCACAGCAATCCGCATTAGTGGCCATAAACACGGGGCCCGCAGCAACATCCTTCCCACCACCTGCACCCAGTACGAGCACCAGTACTACACTCTCTACCGATCCACTTCAATCGATATGTATTTTAAGGTTTTGGCATACTGCAAAATCATCTTGGTTGCAATTAATGTGCAAATGCTACCCGCATGACTGGAGTTTCAAGTTTGGAGAGTGGTCCTTCGTTATAATGCCCCAAAGATCGGTTGTGCCCCAAAGCCCAAAAAGCCCTAGCAGGCCTGATTAATTCTTTATGCTTGATATTCCTTCTTTATTACTTCGTCAACAATAATAAACATAGTTTGTGTATCGTATGTATTTTGTTTAATATATAGGAGTTTTTTCGTAATGGTTTAATCTAACAAAAAAAAAAAAGATCATCTTAATCTATACAAAAAAAGGAGTGTGTAATATTTCTAAATGGAACACTAAAAAAACTGAGTCTATTTACAATTTGAGGCACTTGGTTCAACTCAATAATTGACTAGATGAAAACAGGATGCAGGAAGAGAGGTGTGGAGGATTGGCGGAGATCACTGCTCCTGCCACATGGAGATATAGTCTAGGATCTCCTCGTCATCGGGCGTGCAGTCCTCCTCGTCCAGCTGGAAGTGGTCGTATGGCTCAAACTTGAGCTGCAGCTGGGCGTCATGCGCCTCCGGCTCCAGTTCCATGTCCAGCTCCATGTGGGGTGCCGACAGCTGCTGGGGCGCCGCCTCATAGGTGCCCGAGTCGAAGGACATGCTCGAGTTGAAGGAGGAGGTGGGCGAGTGGCAGGCCGTCGTCTGCCCGGGGATGCTGATGGTGGCACCACCTGCTGCTGCTCCCACTCCCACTCCAACCAGGTTGCTGTTGAGCGAGATGGGTGCCAATGGCTGCTGATGGGGGAACTGCTGGCGCTGTAGTTGCTGCTGCTGCTGCAGCGGAGTTGTTGTCGTCGTGGCAGCCGCCGCCGCAGCTGCTGCTGCCAGGGAGCTGCTGTAGTAGAGGTGGTGGCTCCCGTGGCTGCTGCTCCCGGAGCTGCTGGAGCTATTGCTGCAGGTCTCCTCGTCCAGGCAGAGCTGCAGCTGGCTGACAACGGCACTGGCGGCGCTGGAGCTGGCGGGCGCACCGCCATTGAGGTCGTCGACGAGGTCCTGCAGCCGGCGGATGTACTCCACGGCTATGCGCAGCGTGTCCACCTTGGAGATCTTCTTGTGCGGCCCCCGGCCACCTCCCTTGGTCAGGTCAGCGATGATCGACTGAGGGATGTGCTGCCGCAATCGGGCGAAGCTGTTGTTCACCTGCTTCACGCGGTTGCGCTCCCTGGCGTTGCGCCGCTGCACGGACTGCGACTGGTCCACGTTGTACGGTGCGCCAGCCCCCAGCACCGATGAGGAGGAGGAGGAGGACGATGATGATGAGGATGAGGACGAGGCTGAAGATCTCTCCAGAGCCATGCCACGCGGCGTATACTTGCGCGTCTTGATGGGCATGGAGCTTCCACCGCTGGAGATTATCTCCTGGCCGGGATTGGGAGCCGGCATAATGTGCTGGTAGCGGAACACCTTGGCGGCGCCGCTGATCGTGGTGGGGAACATGTCGGGCACTGGCACAGGCACCGGAATCTGGGACTGCATCTTGCTGCTGGAATACACCACACTTGACATCTCTGTCCGATCGGTTGTCTTTTGTACACACACGCACGTGAAAAGCGAAATACTGGATCGCTGAACAACAAATAAAAAATATATTGCTGCACTGGGAGTGGGTTTTCTTCTGTTTCTGTTTTTCGAACTTTATCGTTTGAAGAATGAGTGAAGAATGAGTCCCTTCGTCCTAAACCCTCACGTTATGTACCTTTCTACACGGAATCGGCAATGAGTGGAAGATGGAAGAGCACCAGGCAGCCCTGAGCGGAACCTCAACCCTGTTGCCTGAGTGGGAACAGTTTTCGTAACATTGAGAGCCGCCTTATCGCGGATCGTGCGGAGAGACAGAGAGAGAGCGCGCGCTCACTACCTGTAGCTCACGCACTGCCCGAGCCCGAGCCCAGCCGAAGGCACCCGACCGCACTTCGGCGACCGAACTCACTCTACCTGCAGACAGGTAAGCGCTCCGATGAGAGAGAGAAAGAGAGCACTCGCCGGCTCGCTCTTGAGGTACTCCTGCCTGTCGCTCTCACGATCCATACTCCACTCAGGGCTGCAGGCTGCCACTTACACTTACCAGCCAGTTTTCACTCCAGGGCTGCCTGAGCACGGACCAACAGAAGAACCACTCAGCTCTGATTGAGGGCGAGGGCATCCCATGCAGGCCAGCCCATTGAGTGCCGTCCCCCAGGAGCATTTTGGCATGCCAGCAATTTGATTTCCGTGTTAATTAACTTAGCAAAAGTCGCGATCCGGCAGCGCACATTTCATGTGCAGCTCACGCACGCCCCTATTCATTAGCGCCGTCAGTTCCACCGCTCTCCACCGACGACTCGGACTCTCCCTCTGCCCCAGCCAGCAGCCCCTCTGTCGAAGAACTCCACTCACTAAACCAGAACGATGTGGCATGCGCGTGTCGCCTATAGGATGGCAGCCTTATTAGCTATGCAGAGTCAGGCCTCGGAAGGTGTTCGAACAATTTCACATATTCCTCTAATTAAATGATCAAAAGGATCACAAGTTTTTCACCCCGGCCACAGCCCGACCCATCCGACCGACAGACCACGACAATTGTCTCCGGGTTCCAAGATCATTATGTGGATGGACCTGGGATGGATCGTGATGATCGTGTGTTTCTCTCTGATGCTAAAATTGCCACTTCCGTTTGGTCATTTTGGACAAAAGTCAAAGCCAGCTTCCTTTTTCACTCTTGCTCTGTCTCTCTCTCTATCTCTCTGTTTTTCTCTCTTGCGATCATCAGTCGATCGAAGCAATCAGCGGATCCGCACAGATCCCCAGAGACCAGGTGTAAGTCGGGATGCGTGTATGTATATTGTTTCCACTTTCCACTCTTCAACTCGTTCCCATTGTTGGCGGCCCAGCATTTTCCCTCATCATCATTGGCGGCTGCGGTAGCGGTAGCAGCAGCATTTCTTCATTTCCATTTGCAAAAATCCATAAAACCGAAAATCAAAAACCGTAACCAAAAACCAAAGACCGAAACCTTTTCAACCATGACCAGGCGACGGCGCTTCTCTGTGTACTTTTCTGTGTGCGCTGCATCCTTTGACAATTTCCATTACTATTTTTGCATGCTGCATTTTGTTTAGAATTTTATTTGCAGTTTTTGTCTTTTTCCCATTTTTTGCATTGTAATGCTGGGGAATCGGCGGAGGATAGCAGGATCTCCAGTCAACGGCTTTGGATTCCATTATTTTGGCATCATTAACACGTTCATTGTTCGAGTGTCGCATATTTTGTGGCATTCGCATCGTTCCGCTCCCTTTCTATTCAAATTTTTGGCACAGCCATACGCATTCTTTCTTTCATTCTGGTCTGACATATGATAAATGCTGAGAGGGGGACAAATGCTGGAGGAAAATGCCTATGAAATACTGGTGAAATGCCCAAAATAGGGTTGAAGTCCTGCGGCCTTTGTTGCACTGGATGATCTATTGTGTCTAAGGATCCGAACCTGAAGTGGAATGCATTTGCGCAATGATTGATAGTCGGTTAGCAGATACCGCAGGAGATCCGATACGAGTGCTGCTTCTGTTCCTTTCGGTACTTCTGATCAACCAGAACGATAGGTCTGAGCACGAGTATCTTCTGTCTGTGATCCATTGATCAGTCGAAAAGTCAAATCCCAGTCAAAGCCAAGCTCTCATATGCAAATCCATGCAAGAGCCTTGGGCCGTTATTGAGCTGCCTCGAAATACTGATCATTATCCGCGATCGTATCGCCTCTATCCCTATCCCTACCCTACCTGGACTTATATGAGTGCAGGCATATGTAATGTAATCCATTGCCACTTCTAAGAAGTCCTTTCCTTTGCTTTGGAGAGAGCTACATATAAATGAAATGTGCAGATCTTTGGTGGAGGTGGGAGGTGAGGCGACTTTCGATTTCGATTCACCTTGAGGCAAGGCGATCGTCTTGGTGTTTATGAGTGATACCAATCTGTAGATCACAGGGATCGTTCGCATCGAAAGATTACTTGAATCAAGCGATTATTTGATTGAAGTTGCTCGAATGTGCTGTCATCATTGATTCAATTATTCCTAGTATCTGCCTATCGCACAGATCATTTGATGCAAATTTCAACGTGAATTTCAGTATGTTCTGACGAGGACATAGAGCTAAAAATTTTGATGATTCTCATAATCCTTCTGGTCTTTCGATATCTCATATGATAATATCATAGTCTGATGATCTTCCGTGTAGGTATACATACATTTGTACCAAAAACTAAAGATCGCAGTGATCGCCTGCCATTGTAACCTGCAACCTGCACAGTGCAACTGCTTCCATTCAATTCTGTTGCCTCGACAACCAGTAAACAACCTTCCCCCGGCAGCTCTCCAGCTCTTCAGCCCCCTTTCCCATTTGTTTATATCCTTTCGCGGAGACTGCAACGCTTGGAAGATTTAAATGCATAATTACTTTGATATGAAGCATAGTTCCGGGCCCCGCGAAACGGGAAACGGGAAAGTGGCAACAGGACTCGTGGCCGGGGCAAGAGCTGGGGCAGGGCGCGTGCGTTAATTGCGTGCAAGCAGGACAGAGATACACGGCATATCCTGGCCAAGGGGCAGTCCAGGAGCGGGACACAACGTTTGAGGGAGCGTGCGCCTGCGTTTTTCCATCGAAACTGGAAATGCAAACAAGAATGAAGGCTTCGGGTGGGACCGAATCTTTTGATACTCTCAACGATGGTTCTTATGGCAGATATACGATATAGTGATTTGAATTTGAAGAAAACGACATCTAAATGGAGTTTTTCTTGCGTTATCATCAAAACACATAATGTTCTCCACATAATAATATATCTTATGATCTCATTTTGATTTGATTTGATAAATTTGTATATAGCTTTTGGATTTGGCAACTTTTGGGGTGATGATCAGGATCTATTTCTGTTTCGTAGACATATCGTTACATATGCATAGGGATACCCACAGAAAGGGCTTCAAAATGAATGTTGAATGTTAATTGAAACGAGTTCCCGTTGCCCGGGCAGCAGCCAGGACCTGCAGGAGTGCTGTAGTGGTGGTGCCACAGGAGATCCAACACAGACATAGAGAGAGGGGCAGAGAGAGGAGCAGAGAGCACCTTCCCTCCACGTGCCTCGGGTTGTCGTTGTCCCGGGCAACGAAGCGTAGTTTAGTTGTTGCTTCCTACTTCCCTCGCTCATTTTCGTAGTTAATATTTTAATTAAATGCAGGAGCAGGCGCAGGAGCAGAAGCAGGGGCTGGAGTAGTTCCAGGACTCGCTTGCCTGCTCTCCCCGACTCTCCAACGTTGCAGCGGCAGTGGCAATGGATTGGGCCTGGCTCTTAGGCTATGGCGACGCGTGGCAGGTGTATTTACGCGACCGAATCGGGATCGAGAGATGGAGAGACCTGTGCACGGGCACGGGCACGGGCACAGGCTCGGGCTTAGACAGAGTCTACCTTTCTCTGCTGCAGCTGAAAAATGAAACACAAACAGAAATACACACACACACGGACAACGCATGGCACACACTTAAACACACACAGCCAGGGGTTGCTAGGGGTTGCTGCTCGAGATGCATTTTAGTATCCACTCCAGAAAATAGGGGAGCCCAAAACTCGGTCGGAAACATTCAGAGGCAGCCCCAGACCCAAAACCCAAGATACCCGATGTCCGATGCCTGATGTCTGATACCGAAACGGCGCATTGAACTTTGCACAGACCAAAAGTTCAGATCATCGTCAGAACAAATCAAACGAGGGGGGCTTCCGATTCTTTGTGTGTTTCGGTTCTTTTTTGTGGGGGATTTCTTTTCCGGTAGGATGAATGCACTATGTCGAAGCGTTTGTTGGGGTTGTCTGGCAGAAAACTTGCCAAGCTAACTTCAGCTCGAAGACCTTTTTGGAATCTCTCAAAAGTCGAGAATCTTTATAAATTTCTGTACAAATTTGTTTGATGGCAGATGATCTTTTTGGAATTTCATATAGCTCTGATAATTTACATACATATTATGTATAAAAAAAATCAATGATTAAGGTTAACCCTTGGAAGCATAGTAAATGTCAATTCAATTTTATTGATATTGTAAAGGATACATTCCGAAGCAAAAATATAATTAATTACTTATACACTGGTAACATATTCTAAAATAAAAAAATTTGAAACAATGAAATCCCTAAAAAGATTATTCTAGAACTAGGCTATGTTATTATAAAATTAACTATGATACATACATATGCACATACATATGTATATAATACTATTCTTAATTTTTTTTCCATTTTCTCATGGACTAAACTTCAATCTCAATTTATACACTTTAAACATTCCTAAAAGAATGATCTCCAACTGTATTTTTCGATCTTCATATCAAGGGTATATCACGTTTGTGTGTGCATTTTTTCTCGGTGAGCGGTTAGTGGAGGTCTCCAGGCGGCGGGGGGGGTTCCCGTACGAGTAGTCGCGGGCTAAAAGAGCCGAGATCCGAGAGTGGGGCCAGATAGACGGACGGCGGACCGTGGACC